GCCATGGAGCTGCATCTTTTTACGTCGCTCCGCTGCCTTGTGGATTAGACGTTTAGGTCAAAGACTCAGGGAGTGGACCCCTAAGAAAACCATATGCTTCGGTTTGGGCGCTCGGACTCTAGTTTTGATGAAACAACTAGAACCCTGTCATAAACATTTGGAGAAAAGTCATCTCTATTTACTATCCGTTACCAGTGCTTGAAGATAACGAAAGAAGCAGATCACTGATTGAAACATGCAGGAATTGTGAACCGAGAATGCGAGAGGTTTAGACATCATCTTTGTACTATGTGTTCCACAAAAGCACACAAAGAAAATCATTGCAAAACCCGAAAACACCGTCAACTGAAAGTGTATTCTATAAATTTAAGCCGCTAGCAGGCAAAGTAACGGTAGCTCTTAACAAAACCGGTTCCCATAACCATAGAAAGTATGTTTCTTTCAAGATCAATGGGTAAGATGCCCGCTTACAGTTAAATACAGCTTTCGATATAACACTTATGAGCAGCCATACATGATTCGCCAAGTGGTCCAGTATTTTAGAGACATTCTCCGTAGTGGGTTCAATTCTCATTATCTCCGAAACACAATATATAAGCAGTGACTTGCCCAGTTCATAGAAAGACGGTGTCGTGTTAAATGCTCATGAAATTGTTGCAGTACCAGCGCACAAAGTAACAGAAAATAAATAGAACAGTATAACGAACACAGTTGCACCAAACGAAGCTTATCATTCAGCGAAAAAAATTTCTGATAAATCTGGTTGTTTTACCAGATATGGGTTATCTTAATGACCTACAAATATATCAGATGAATCAAATGATGAGAATGGGTTTTGTGGAGATTTTCAGAAATTTCACAGGTTGAAATCATGAGTCAATTGAAGCTAGATCACTATAGAAACCCTGGAAGCACTGGTCCTGGGTTCGAATCCCTCAGGGTGCAGGATCATGGATGCGCATTGCTGAGGAGTCCCATACTACGACGAAACGGCTGTCCAGTGCTTCCAGGTTTTCCATGGTGGTCTAGCTTCAACTGACTCTTGATTTCAACCTGTGAAATTTCTAAAATCTCCACAAAACTCATTCTGATAATAATCATCTGCTTACTAATGACTGACTTAAAGAGGCATTTCCTGGAGTTCTAGTGAGAAGCCGTTACCAGTGGAGTTCAACTAGGTCTGTTGTGAAATATCAACTCACTGAAGACAATGGTGTACGGTGGCGCAACTTTGTGGATTGGTTGAAGTTAGAGATTAACACCGTTGGATGCCGGCTCAGTTGTCTTGTGGTTAAGTGCTGGCGCGCGAAACCAGTAGGTCCTAGGTTTGAATCCCGCAGGGTGCGGAATCGTGAATGCGCATTTATGAGGAGTCCCATACTAGGACGAAACGGCCGTCCAGTATTTCCAGGTTTTCCATGATGGTCTAGCTTCGATTAACTCATGATTTCAACCTGTGGAATCAAATGATGGTCAAAAACCTAATGCAGTTTTGATAGATGCTGATTATTCTAGTGATCCACAATCTACTACTAATGAGATATTCAAAAAATGTGATGTCGTTCATCTTTACTATCTAGTCACTTTTAGTAGATTCTCTATTCAATGCAAGAAATATACTTTAAATAAAGTCATCACATTAATTGTAACTTGGGCATATGAGGATGTAATATTATTTCGTGAGGGCGGGGGGGGGAATAATTTAAAGTCAGCAACTAAACTTTGAGTCTTCAAAAGATTAAAGAAGGGGGGGGAATGATATAATGGGATGTATAGTTCAAATTACATTCTTTTATTCAATATTACTTCCGTTTTTTAATTCAATTTATGGTGATTATTCAATGTAGTGTTTGTTTCTGTTTTCCTGTCTGTAATGTTATTCTGTATAATAGACGATATTCTTATATTTAATGGATATGAACTATGCTTAGAATGATATATAGCATGTGATTTGTTATAACTATTGGCTGCTTTATGTGTATGTGATTCTGATGTGAACAGGGAAACAAGAAGCCCTGACAACCTACGAAAGTTATTTTTCGGGGACGTTATTTCATTTTATGCAAAGCTTGTAAAACACTAACATTGATTTTTGTCCCTAATTTATTCCACAGAACATAAGCTTTCGTTCGATGTATGATTCGTTGCCATAACCATTATCTGTTCCGAAGCTATTGTCATTTAAACATAATATTTTGCACCCTATTTTCTACGTTAATTCCCAGCTTTGGACATAATTGTATTTTCCTAATTATGGTACGTTGTGGTCGGGTTAGTCACCTATATTTATTCATGTACCTTTTGACACTAATCTGAAATCAGAAGAAATCAGGATATCAAGAATAGATTGAGTAGTGTTCCAGTTGTCTTGCCTTCTTTCATTCGCGTGCTTGTCAGCCAATCAGGTGATAAAATAGTTTTCTTCTCTATAACCCACTTCGAACTCACGCGTACTAGCCTCAAGGTTAGGTCGGTCAGCCTATTGCGCCAAGGTCTTAATCTGGATTAGATAGGTATCCTCAGCACCAAAAGTGGGTAGGCAAACCCAAAGGACATAACAGTTTCTATTCTAATTATTAATCAGAATGTGTGTACTAGAGTCATCGTCGTCGTTGTCGTGGTGTTTTGGGGCTAATAAACCTTCATTTGTACCAGTTTTTGTGTTCTTACTTCAGCGTCATTGGAAGTGGTTTCTCGTTTTACAAGTATAAGTAATCAGTGATTCCGACATAACAATTAATGACGATCAGATATAACAATGAGTGTTCAATTATAGAACTTATCACCATCTCTCATACAAATCGAATATTTTGTATGGTGCATCGTTGTACAAATGTCATTGACTTAGTTGGCGAGATTATAATTTATAGACGAACCAATCAAGTATAAGAAAACAGGTCTACGATTTGGGCGCGGAGTTCAGTTATTCATTTGACTAAATAGAGTTTTGGCATTATAGTTGTTGTCAATTTGTGATGAAAATCCCTGAAATCTAGTTGCCAACCTTATTCATCAACTGTTAATCATAATTCTAATCCCCACACCCTAGTCTTAGTTCTTAGATGGACACTCTTAAGGTCAGTTACGGGTCGCTCAAAAGTCGTCCACAGTTTCACTGACTTAATGACAATTTCTGTAAATATGAATTAACAATACTTGTGAAATCATCTTTTGTGTATAAAAAGTTGGAGTATAAAATTTCAATAATCCCGCAAAACCTATGGTCAATAATTGATTAGATTTAAGTTACCATACCAATGAAATAAATATATGATCTTAACAATTGAATTCATGAGTCGATCTAAACTAAACTACCTGTTATGACGTGTGACTGCAGATTATGAATACAGTGGTCTTGAGTGCTGTTAGAGGTATGAGGGCGGTTTTCACTTCCCGGTTGCCCACACCGTGGAAGGGTTCTTCTGGAGGTACCTGAAAAGGAATTTGGATTAAAGGTGGTCTTAGTGACCTGAGAGCGTGACCGCAGTGCCCAAGGGACAACTGCTTGAGGTCGGTCACACACGACCTTGTTATGGGTAATTTTTGTGTTAGCTCCGTACTTATTGGGACCTTACCGCCGGAGACGGATATCCATGGGATAAGGCGAGGTGTGCATTTTTAGGGTCGACCTTTTCTAACCCCACCCCTCCTTGTGGGAAGGCAGCATCGCTGTCATGCTGGTTGTCTGAAGGAAACACCTTACTGCCGTCACACCTCTGTACAGTCAGCAGTACGACTTCGCCTTCGGATCTTGGGTTTGTTGCTTTTAGTCTTACCGCTCTTCAACCGACCTGTCTGACATGGTAGGACCTTGAGGAACGGTTGTTCCAGCCAGTATAGCTCGGTTGCTTCATCACGATAAGCAAGCCCGACCACCACGTCAAGGTAGCAACAACGGTCGGGAGGTAGCAACGACGTGCAATGCTAACCGGGGTAGGGGATGGTTAGAAGAAAGTTAGGGGCGGCCAAACCAAAACGTGGCATCAGTGCCTGAAGTCACTAACTTCTAGTCTGAGCCACGTTGGTAGATGCAGACTACTTGGTTGGGGTCCGCGTGACTTTCGTAACCAATGGTTGGAGACTCTTGGTGACATGGCTCAGAATCGATCACAGTGGCGTCGGTGTATACACTCCCTGTCTTCCCTTAAACTAAGAGACTAAAATCACTTCATTCTTTCTGTCTACGAACTAATTCTTTCTTCCTATACTATATCCTTATTGCAACCTTTGACCTAACCACTCCTATGAATCCGCTGTTCATCTTGCTGTGCTAATGAGGTATGGCAACCTGGACCGATGCACATATGTGCCTGGTCCTACGTTGTAGCTGACTGACTGACTGACGTGTGACTGCAGATTAAAGTCAAGCGTTTTATCAATCGCTTCAGTGACACGGGAAACACGTACAGACGTCCTACAGTCTCGATTGGTCCCGTTTCCCTGTCTAGCCCAGCCAGTTGAGTCCAGAACACAAGTCACAGCCTCTGCAATATGAATCGTTATATTTCAAATATACTCTGTTTATATACTAACCGAACAGACCACATCGTACCATAAAATAGAAAACAACATTTTGTACAATATTTAACAAGTGGAATAAATACTGACCAATAGGGAGTGTACATTTAAAGTCCAAGGCCACTATTAGACTTAACATGATAATGATTGGTATATTTTTCTGCACATCCTAACACTACCATTGAAAACTTGAAAGCATTAGATGGCCGTTTCGTCTCAGTATCGGACTCTTCAGTGATGCTCTAGTTTGGAATGATTCATGACTTTAACTGTTAAAATACTAAAATATATGATCGTCTACAAGATCAAAATACATGTTCATTATACATTATACAATGTGTCAACGTTCAAGTAACAGATACGATACATCAGTTTATATCAATGACTGATCTTAACTGGAAATCCATTATATACAGGAGAGGACTATACATATCTCATTCTAATATGACATATCTCAATGTTAAATGTTCACAATCTGATTAATGATTGAATCTAAGGTATTTAGAACAAGATTGGGGAGGTATCTTTATAACATAATCATTCAATACTTCTCATTTACAACTTTTATCGATTTATTATCAAGTCATTGTTACCATGGCATTAATTTCTTTGATAAACTGTTATTTTACTGCTTTTTACTCCATGAATTAATCGTTAATAGTTCGAAAAAGAAAAGAACTTTGTTTTTATCTCTCATCAAATACAGAGAAAAAAAAAGGGGTCACGTCAATTTGACCATGTCAGTAAAATAGCAGAAGAACAAGAAGAAGAAGAAGAAGAAGAAGAAGAAGAAGAAGAAGAAGAAGGGAGAAGAGAGGTGAATAAAGACAGTTAGTTTATTGATAAAATGAAATGGAATTCAAAGCTGACAGGATGAGTGATCTGATAACGAAGCATAAACTATAGAATAAGATCATGTAGATTGAGATTATTAGAGTAATATATATATATATATGTATCTTCTCATTGTTATTTAGAACTGTAGGTAGATCCAACTGAAGAATCTCTAATAGGACGAAACGCATGGATTCTTAAATTCCACTGCTAATCACTATCTATCTTTGTTAATAAAAACTAGATATAACATTTATATATTTATAATTTAGTAGAATATCAATTTAGTTTATCAATTGAGATCATTTTAGTAAGTTAGTAGGTTAAGTTCAATGAGGTTGATGATAACAACTTAAAAGTTATAGTGTATTACATATCTAAGATGATGATGATGATGATGCTTTGGATGATGATGATGATGATGATGATGATGATAATGATGATTTGGATGATGATGATGAGGAGGCTTTGGATGATGATGATGATGCTTTGGATAATGATGATGATGATTTGGATAATGATGATGATGAGTGTGAAATAGATTAACGATACAAAATAAAATATTCTATCAATTTAATGTGTAATTATGAAAGACAAAAGTTTTCAGAAAGTTTAGGCTTGTATGACTGTATGTAGCAAAAATAAGTGAGGGACACTAAAGTGATCTTGTGAATGTGAACCTACTAATTAGGACTAAATGAACGTTTAGTATCAGAAGGGGTATTGTGGAGATTGTAGCAATTTCAATGGTTGAGATCATGAGTCAATTGAAATTAGACCAACAACGGAAAACTTGGAAACACTGAACGGTCGTTTCATCCTGAGTTCGAATTTCACGAGGCGAGATTGTGAATGGGCACCACTGAAGAGTACCACAATAGGATGAAATGGCCGTCCAGTGCTTCCAAGTTTTCCATGGTGGTCTAATTTCATTTGACTCATGATCTTAACCCCCTTCTGATAACAATCTGAAAACATTTATTAATAATATTTAAAAAAATTATACATTCTGTAATTTACGTTTTAAGGAACTGAAAGATGAAGAACACCAACAACCATCATAATCGAAGTACAAGTATTTATAAAGAGTTTTCTACACAAGCTACTTAATATCCGTTGATAGGATATCATCAGCAACAGCCTACTGTGATAGAGAACAAACCAACTTTCAGATGAAGAGGAAATCAGGAGAAGACATTGGAAATGGATAGGATACACATTGAGGAAATCATCAAACTATATCACTAGAGAAGCGCTAGATTAGAATCCTGAAAGGAAACGGAAAAGAAGAAGGCCAAACCATACACTACGTTGAGAATCGGAAGCAGATATGAAAAGGATCAATAGCAACTGCAAAGGACTGGAAAGAATTGTCCAGGACAGGGTTGGATGGAGAATGCTGATGTTCGGCCTATGCTCCTCGACGAGGTGTTACAAGCGTAAGTAAGTAAATAAGTAAGTAATTTACACTGCTTGTATAATAACTTACTCAATCATATCACATATTTTTTGATTGGTTAAATGGAATGGACAATTTTCTTAAGGTCATTCACCAATCACTCAAATTTGTCCTAATTGCCAAACTTTATCAGCAACTGCTTTGAAGCTTATATGACCCTGTGTAATAGTCCAATTCATTAAAATACAGATTTATATGGTTAAGACAGCTATAGTATGTTTGTTCAGCTCTAAAATCAAATTATTTTTCAAGCAGTTTCTGACTAACATATAACAAGTTTCAGTTATTTAGATTAATATCATGAATGAATCAATGTTGGACCACCATTGACAACCTGAAAGCACTGGACGGCTGTTTCGTTCTATTGTGGGACTCCTCAGCAGTGCGCATCCACAATTCCGCTTGCTGGATTCGAACTCAGGGCTTTCGGTCTTGCGTGCAAATGCTTAACTTCTAAACTTCAACCAATCCAAGAAATTGTGCGACCATCTCTTATTGTACTGAGGTAGATATCTGTCTCTACTCGACATGGTTAATGGGTAAATCTATGGAATGTTTATTTTTTCTTACAAAGATTTTAGTCAACCAGTCACTTAAACAGTGATCTCGAGTGCTGTTAGAGATATGAGGGCGGAACCAGTAGGTCCTAGGTTCGAATCTCGCAGGTGGCGATGTCATGGGTGCGCACTGCTGAGAAGTCCCACAGTACGAAGAAATGGCCGTTTAGTGCTTCCAGGTTTTCCATGGTGATCTAGCTTCAACTGACTCATGATCTTAACCATTGAAATTAATAAAGATTAGTAAACAATAAACTTGTCAGTCAATTTAGCCGCATAGATGATACTGTAGTGAACGAGAATACAATTGAGGACAATAAAATATGAAATTACAAAATCTCTTAGTAAAATCTGAGAACCATACAGTAAATAATTCATTTGCAAAATGTCAATCATTCATCTCAGACTTCATTGTTCCTTTATTTCTACACGGATCATTCACTGTTCTCGTTCTTTTTTCTTTGATCTTCTAAATCTTTTGGTACCAGACACTTCACTGTCGATTCATGATACATACTACTTATATCCGTTGACATCAGTAGCACACACCACATTACAAATTATGGTGTCAAATGAGATTTTTTCGGGTTTAATTTTTTAATTATATAAGCACGTGATTTATGGATTAGTGTTATGGCTTTATGTTGCTGTCGATTTTTACCCTGTGCTAATTGTTGTGTCCTTGACTGGAAAATTAGAGAGCAGAGTACTTATTGATCGATTACAGTGACACGTAAACACGTACGGACGGCCTAGAGTCTCGGTTGGTCCCACTTCTCTGTCTAGCCCAGCCTGTTGAGTCCAGAACACAAGTCACAGCCTCGGAGATGTGAATCATTATATTTCAAACATACTCTATTTATATACTAACCAAGCATACCACATCGTACCATAAAAATAGAAAACAACATTTTGTACAATACTCAACAAGTGAACAGATATCGACCAATAGGAAATGTACATTTAAAGTCCAAGGACTCCATTGGACTTAACATGATAAATATTGGTCTATTCCTCCGCATCCACAACAATTAGATTAGTGAGAGTGTAGTCCTACTCACTGACTTCTCGCAGCATTACTATTGTTTACGAAATTGAAAGGATGAAAACGAATGTCTGGCGTTTAAAATGGGTTGATCATGGATATGGATGATTCACTTAGGGGAGTTGGAATACCCTGATTCGAAACCAATAGTGCGAATGGGCTCCAGGATCCTGAAACAAAAAAATGGCATATGAATCAATTGTTGACCACCGGCTGCCATGAGACTGCATCTACTTACGTTGCTTCACTTCCTTGTGGATTAGACCTTTTGGTCGAAGGCTCCGGGTATGACCCCCTAGTAAAACTACCTGCATTGGTTTGGGCACCTGGTCAGTATCACAGCCCTCACATAAATCAAGTAACCTTTGCATGGCACATATGTATTCGATGCCACTTTATATCAATATTTATATGTTCAAATACATAAATAACATTCATCAAAATCAAATACTATAGAAGATATTCAGCATATATTACCATTAGTCAGCATCATGCATGCATGAAAGACCTTCACTTTTTTTGAATGATCAAACATATGACTACTATCGATGATAACCGTTTTCTTTTCAACGACTATCCTTGTCATCCAATTACAACATTGGAAGTTATCCTTATCCTATTGATCATAATTGTCCCATTTATGATTATTATTATAGAATAGTGAGTCTCTATAGATTAACTAAGCAAAATCTATATTTATGATGTTAGAAACAAAAGAGTCGAATCAAAACAAGTGAAAACATTAAAGAAAATAAACAATAAATAACTATATAGCAACATATTACTTACAATGACCTTGAGGAAACAAATCAATATTACTAGGGTATGTTTATGAGTAAAAGTACTATTATTATTATTATTATCAGAATGGGTTTTGTGGAGATTTTTAAAAATTTCACTGATTGAAATCATAAGTCATTTGAAGCTAGACTGACTTCAGGAGACACTTCTGGAGTTCTAGTGAGAAGTCGTTACCAGTGGAGTTCAACTAGGTCTGTTGTGAGATAGGAACTCATTGAACACAATGGTGTACGGCGGTGCAACTTTGTGGATTGGTTGAAGTTAGATATTAACACCGTTGGATGCCAGCCGGCTCAGTGGTCTGATGGTTAAGTGCTGGCGCGCGAAACCAGTAGGTCACGGGTTCGAATCCCGCAGGGTGTGGGATCGTGGATGTGCACTGCTAAGGAGTCCCGTACCAGGACAAAATGACCGTCCAGTGATTCCAGGTTTTCCATGGTGGTCTAGCTTCAATTGACTCATGATTTCAACCAGTGAAAAGTACTATTTATGTTTTGAATACACAAGAACAACTTAAATGTTAACCATTCGCCTTAAAAAACGAATTACTTATACTAATACTAGTACTACTGTGATGTGTGCTACTTATATTGACGTAATTAGTAGTGAAGGTCTGACTGGAGAGAGACAAGAGGATCGAACAGTAAAGAATGGAAACAGAATGCAATTTGTACGAAAATGGAAGAACAATGAAGTCTGGGTCATTTTGAGACAACTGATGGATATTTTGCGAATTACATATTTAGATTTTATTAACAAGTCCTGTAATGTTGTGTCAAATACATTCGATTGTTCCCCACTGATATTCTTGTTCACTACACTACTACTGTGATGTGTTCTACTGATATCGACAGAGATATAAGTAGTATGTATCAATTATCGAAAATGAAATATTTTGCGGCAGAAAGTTAAGAAGCTCGAAGAGATGAGGATGAGAAGAGAGAATGATTAGTGTAGAAACAAAGTAATAATAAAGTATGAGACAAATGATGGAAATTTTCGCAAATGAAGTATTTATTGTATGATTCTCAGATTTTACTGAGATTCTGTAATTTTATGTTGAAACATATCCGATTGTCCCCATTGGTTTCCTCGTTCATTATACTTCCAAGACTATACACACAGCCAATATCGCAACTACTCAAATTACTACTAACAATACTACGATCACTCACACTGCTGCTATAGTGTATACTACTTATGCTGACGGATATAAGTAGTACGTAGCTGCAGTCGGAAGTGGAATACCTGTCAGCAGAATATTGAATAGAAGAGAACAGGAAGAGGAACAGAGAGCAATTGTAATAACAACACGACTATAAGAATCATAAAGCATAAACAGGACAATTGAAGGAAGATGTTCAATTATTGTATTTCATGTATGATTTTCATAGTTTACTAAAGTACTCTGTGATTTTGATGTAACAACAAACTGATTTGTCATACTACAACGAATACAAAGATTGTTTTCTTGCTTAATCTCACTCGTAATGACCATGTTCATGAAATGTGAACAGTATAAAAAATGACAGTGAGACTATTATGTATAGACGACTTTTGAGCGATACCAAAGTGAATTTGAGAGGGTCTACCTACTTCTTAGGGTTAAATAAGGTTTGTAAAGCAGTTTGAAGAATAAGAATTATGATTCATGTTTGATAGTTAGAGTTAAGAATTAGATTTA